GTATATGTGAACTGTAGAGTCATCTATATGTGAACTATAGAGTTATGTATATGTGAACTGTAGAGTCATCTATATGTGAACTATAGAGTTATGTATATGTGAACTGTAGAGTCATCTATATGTAAACTATAGAGTCATCTATACGTGAGTTATAGAGTCATCTATATGTAAACTGTGGAGTCATGTATATGTGAACTGTAGAGTCATCTGTATGTGAACTATAGAGTCATCTATACGTGAGTTATAGAGTCATCTATATGTAAACTGTGGAGTCATGTATATGTGGACTATAGAGTCAACTATATGTGAACTGTAGAGTCATCTGTATGTGAGCTATAGAGTCATGTATATGTGAACTATAGAGTCATGTATAAGTGAACTGTAGAGTCATCTATATGTAAACTATAGAGTCATCTATATGTGAACTATAGAGTCATCTATATGTAAACTGTGGAGTCATGTATATGTGAACTATAGAGTCATCTATATATAAACTATAGAGTCAACTATATGTGAGCTATAGAGTCATCTATATGTAAACTGTAGAGTCATGTATATGTGAACTGTGGAGTCAGCTACTTAGTTCACATGCTATACAAATCATACAGCTTGGAGTACCCCAGCTGTCCACAACATAGGGATATAAATCGTTACCCTATAAATATGATTTCTAAATGACTTAAACATAAAATTGATAGTAATTAATATTGATTTACCTTATTTAATTCACACTATAGTAGTCTTTGTTCATAAAAGTTGGTACTATATATATAGCGCCTATATAGGTGATTACTATATCTGTCGTGTCCCAGCCGGCCTGATGAGTCTTGGTAACTATCAAAAGACCTCGTCGGCATTAGGTATGGCAGATATAATGTGGTTGACATATTATAACATATAGTTTGTTATAAGAGAACTGCACGACTCGTATTTATTATTTATGTGCAGGAGAAGAAGAGCATTAGAGTAACAAATAATGTGGAATAATAAAAACAAAACATGGAAAGTGGAAGAGTCAAAGAGAAGAAATAAAGTAGTAACAAAAATAGATAAAGAAGTATTCGGTAACAGAAGAACAATGCTATTAAACAAAATTAGTTGAAGGAAGGAAGGTTGTGGAGGAGAACATTTTCTGAAGACTTCGTTACGACAATATTAATAAACTCAGTTACATCCCGTCACAGGTTGTTTCTATAAACACATTTACCTTATTTCGTGTTGAAATCAAAAAATTAATATCTACATTTAAATCCCTAAATGCTTCCCATTTGTAATTTGAATATTTTGTATCAAAAGATAATTCTATCTTCAAGCGAGAAATGAAAAACTTTAAAACAGATAAATTCTAATCGTTACATAATAAGCCGTTTATAGAGTAGAACAAGTTATTTAATGTTTCATAAATATTATTTATTTATTATTTATTTATAATATTATTTATTTCTCAAATGTCTTTAGTGGTCTAATGATCAGCTCTACCTGGAGAAACGTCTGGACATTAAATATGGCCACTTCCATGCATCATCTTATATAGTCTCAGCGCTACCTGGAGAAACGTCTGGACATTAAATATGGTCACTTCCATGCATCATCTTATATAGTCTCAGCGCTACCTGGAGAAACGTCTGGACATTAAATATGGTCACTTCCATTCATCATCTTATATAGTCTAAGACACGAAAATGTGTTCGAAGCTTTGTTCCCAAAATTTTCCTAGAGTTACAATGGCCACTAAAATGTCATTAGTTTGTTTTCTATGCAGAGTAGGCTAGCTTTTTATTTTTTGTTCGAAAGAAAATCATTTATTAAAAGTAATATTATGGCAGGCCTAAACCATTCATTACTTTGATTACACACGAAAAAAAAAAGTTTTAGAGCATAAATTTCTTAAATTAAAAGTTCTAAATCATTTACTATTATGTTAACCATTTATTCTTCGATAAAATATATAAATATTTGACACTAAACTGCCCATAGTGGCTCAGCGGTAAGCCTACAATATTATAACCCGTGGTGGGCTCAGCACAGATAGCCCATCGGGTGGCTTTATGCTTAACAACAAACAAGCAAACGGACACTGAACAATGAATTCGTTAACAAGTAATTTAACAATTTATGCAATATTATTTGCAGAAATACTCTAGACACCAGAGTCGATGACGAGGAATCCATAGGTACGATGATGACGACATGAGCTTGTCGAAACATCGTACATTTGTAATAAAGTTTTATTCACGACCCATTTAAAGCCATCTCCAATTTTTATCATACTCTACGTACCAAATCTTTAAGTTTACTTTATCTGATAAGCAGAGAAGTCAACTTCAAAGAGAAAGCTATGCCCGTTTTCTTTCTTTCTTTTTTTTTAAGAGGTAGATTAAAACCGGGCTAGAACACCTGACTGTGTGAGCGAGCCCAGTTGCTGCAGGCAGGTAAAATACAGGTATAAGAACGCCAGTTTCTGCTCGTGCTCCTATTATCAAGCTGAGACGCTTGCTACCTGAGGGTGGTTGTGGCATCACTGTATGTAGACATCCTTTTCATTTCGTTTACTCTGACTCTAGGCAAGAGTGGCAGCACTGAATGCAGCTCCGACTCTAGGCAAGAGTGGCAGCACTGAATGCAGCTTCACAGTGAGCACATCTTCAGTGTTCGTTTTTACGGCGAACCCAAAGACTTTGAATCCTTAAGTAGCCTAAAAGTTTTAAGTCGTTAGCTCCTTTAGTCGACGAAATACAGTCCAACTACCACGTAGGCCATATTGCAAGGGTAAGTCAAACAGATTGTCATAGGTTTAAACATACCCATATATATATATATATAGTAACGTCTTGAATACTTGTTCACCATCTCCTAGTAAAAAGCATCTCAACTTAAGTTCCTTCTTTTTGTTGTTTTTCACCCCATGGGTTTTTATAAAGTTTAAAGTGGGCTAACGGAAGATATACATGGGTTTTTATAAAGTTTAAAGTGGGCTAACGGAAGATATACTTTTGCTATTCTGGATAGATATTTTGGTGGTTATTCCTAAGGTAACATAACAGTATTAAGATTCTATAAATTAGGTATTGGTAAAGTGTATATTTTTATGCTTTTAATTTCCAATGATAACTGAACATCTCCCACTACAGCGAAGATAGATACTTGGTACAATAGGTGTTTGCCTGTCTGTTATGTTTCAATAAACATGCCAATTTTTTTTTATTTTACCAGATACGGTTTCTTCGTTTTGCCATGAATTATATGCAAAAATGTGTTGTTGTTTTGTTTTTTACTTCAGACGAGTATTTACTGATTATAGGATTTTGTGGAGGAATTAATAAAAAAAAGAGGTTTGGGCGTGGCTTAGTGGGCAGTGTACCAGACTTTGAATCTGAGAGTCCAAGATTCGCATCCCTTTCTCGCAACCTCTCGTTCCGCGCTTTAGGGCCGAAGGGTGCGTTAGAAGAGTAACTGTTACATCTCACTATTCGATTAGAGTAGCCAAATAGCTGTTGGTGGGCACTGTTGACTGACTTCCTTCCCTCTACTCAATCAGTTCAAAATTAGGTAGCCCTTGTGTAGCTTTGTGGGAATATTTGAAACAAAACAGGCAATAAAAAAGGCGCGATGTTATGAGAAATGAGGATGATCCAAGAAAATGGCTCTGAAGTGAGTTCGCTGTTAAAAAAAAAAGTTGTCTCTTATTAAACATTGTTTCCTCTTTAGTAATTGGACGAATAGGTTAACCAAGAAACGTGTTTCTACTGAACTCAGAAATCCCCTTCGAGCAACTGGATAAGAGGGATTGTAAGAAAATATGTTTCTAGTGAACCCAGAAATTCCCTTCCAGTAACTGGATAAGAGGGATTGTAAGAAAATATGTTTCTACTGAACCCAGAAATTCCCTTCCAGTAACTGGATAAGAGGGATTGTAAGAAAATATGTTTCTACTGAACCCAGAAATTCCCTTCCAGTAACTGGATAAGAGGGGATTGTAAGAAAATATGTTTCTACTGAACCCAGAAATTCCCGTTCCAGTAACTGGATAGGAGGGATTGTAAGAAAATATGTTGCTACTGAACCCAGAAATTCCCTTCCAGTAACTGGATAAAAGGGATTGTAAGAAAATACGTGTGTTTTTTTCTGGCTTGGTTTGAGGAAGAAGCTGATTAAGAGAACTGTTTTTCTATAAAGTTCAAAGAGCCCTAACTTGGCAAAAACAAAAAAGACCAATTAGCCAGGATACGTTTCTTCAAGTATAATGATATACCTTCTGAACGATTTGGGCAATTAGTTACAAAACATATGTTGCAAGTAAATGTGAAAATCGCTATAATGAGTGGAGTGGTGAGAGGAGTCATTATAAAGTTCGTTTTTTTCAGGTATAACAGTATTTCCCATTCAGTATCTCAGTAGAAGAACGACTTCTTTCTTTTAATTACAAAAACAAAATATTTAGTGGGAAGGTTTTTTGAAGAAGCTAAACTTAAACGCTCCCTCTTTGCATATATATATATATCTAAAAATAATAACGGGGAGTGTAATAAGAGGATCAGAGTCCGAATGCGACCCCACCCCCCGTCTGTCTGTCAGATTTTAAGCCTATAGTTTTTGAGTGGTTTAAAAACCTGGCATGTACACTTAGGACATAGTGATAATATTCGGATCTAACGCCCCTATGATTTCTTCATGCGTTGAAGGGGTACATCAGCTATTCAAATATTATTGAATAGAAACTTGAGAAAATTCTGGTGTATTTAGGGGACGTTTTAACACGAATACAGTTTGATATTATCACATGTATTCAGATGGAAACATCTCATTACGTGTTTGAAAATGATGAGAGGATCAGAAACGATGAATTTTTCAGATTTGTTTGTTTGTATTGAATTTCGCGCAAAGCTACACGAGGGCTACCTGCGCTAGCCGTCCCTAATTTAGCAGTGTAAGACTAGAAGGAAGGCAGCTAGTCATCACCACCCGCCGCCAACTCTTGGGCTACTCTTTTTACCAACGAATAGTGAGATTGACCGTCACATTATAACGCCCGCACAGCTGAAAGTGCGAGCATGTTTGGTGTGACGAGGATTCGAACCCGCGACCCGCAGGTTACGAGTCGAGCGTCCTAACCACCTGGCCATGCAGGTCCTTTCCAGATTTATCAGGGAGGAATAAATTAACGTAATTTACAGATGTCTATAAACAAAATATATATATATATATTATAATGGAAATGCTGTGACCCAATTTCTTCGAGTGTACGAAAGTTTCTTGGCGAATTTACAAAACTGTAATTCTGGTAGATGATGCCGTTAGTGAAACAGGTTCTACTATTCACTGCCCTGCTCGTCCCAAAACCAGTCTGCCCTGACGTTCTTTCTTTTTGTTCATGATTTTCTTGTTTGTTTATCGTTTGAACTTCATGCAAAGCTACTGGAGAGTTATTTGCGCTAGCCGTCCCTAGTTTTGAAGCGATAGATTAGAGAGAAGGCAGTTAGTCAGCAACACCCACCGCCAACTTTTTGGCTACCTTTTACCAACAAATAGTGGGGTTGACCTTCACTTTATAACGTCCCGACGGTTGAAAGGAGAAGCATGTTAAGAGACGGGATTTGATCCCGCGACCCTCAGATTGCGAGTTGAGTGCCCTTAATGAGAAATATCGCAAGCCATCAGTTAAAAACTAAGCTTTGTCGCCCTTCATAACCACCAATCCTGTATTACTAAGCAAACAATAGTTCAGAATAATACTAGTTAGTTAATCACTCGAACAATAACTAAGATTAACAATTAATCAATTATACACATATCAGGATTAGTTTATCTAGTATCAAGAGTTAGAATTAATTAATTAAATAAAATAATAAAGATATCATTGTCAAGTAAGCACTTGGACAAGAAACCAACAGATTAAACTTTGTGATAAATTAACCAGTAAGCACTGACCAGGACAAGAAACCAACAGATTAAACTTTGTAATAAATTAACCAGTAAACACTGACCAGGACAAGAAACCAACAGATTAAACTTTGTAATAAATTAACCAGTAAACACTGACCAAGACAAGAAACCAACAGATTAAACTTTGTGATAAATTAACCAGTAAGCACTGACCAGGACAAGAAACCAACAGATTAAACTTTGTAATAAATTAACCTACACATTTGTTTTCACATTCCTCTTAACTTGTTAACTATGTACTTCAAACTTGAAATGTGTCAAAATAGCATTCCAGATCTATCTTTTGTTTCTCGGGAAGCATTTCGTTCAGTACCATAACCAATAAGCTAGGCTGTTCCAGATCTATCTGTTGTTTCTCGGGAAGCATTTCGTTCAGTACTATAACCAATCAGCTAGGCTGTTCCAGATCTATCTTTTGTTTCTCAGGAAGCCTTTCGTTCAGTACCATAACCAATCAGCTGGGCTGTTCCAGATCTATCTTTTGTTTCTCAGGAAGCCTTTCGTTCAGTACTATAACCAATCAGCTAGGCTGTTCCAGATCTATCTTTTGTTTCTCGGGAAGCCTTTCGTTCAGTACCATAACCAATCAGCTAGGCTGTTCCAGATCTATCTTTTGTTTCTCAGTAAGCCTTTCGTTCAGTACTATAACCAATCAGCTAGGCTGTTCCAGATCTATCTTTTGTTTCTCGGGAAGCCTTTCGTTCAGTACCATAACCAA